CCTAGTATCGAGAAGCAATAGCAGAAGAGGAACTATAAAACAATAGCACTGATTACTGGATGGCGCAAGGGTGTGGCAGCGCCATTGAGTCGTTACACGCAGGAATAGAGAGCCAGTAGGGGGATAATACGAGAGTGAACGTGTGTGCATGCTGTATATTACGTATGTGTATGTGTGTGTTGTGTCACGCATGTATATGTCGAGTTATGTGTGTGTGTGTGTTGTTTGTGTGTGTATGTATGTGTGAGTGCGCAGGCATGGGTGTGCGAGCGAGCGAGCGAGTGAGAGAGCGCGTGAGCAAGAAGATGGGATGAAAGGAAGACGACGAGGAACGGGAAGGAGCGAAAGAGAGAACGAGTGGGAACAAGAGAGAGGAAGGGAGAGCGAGAGAGGCAGAGCGCGAAGAGGGGTAGGTGAGTAGACTGGGACGGACGGAGCCTGGTGGAAGTGGTGGTAACGCGGGGCGGTACGGCGCGCGGACGGGGACAAGGATGAACCACCTTAAAGGGGATAGCGTGGATCATAAATAATCAATATTATACCTGCGACCGATATAGAAAAATTTCGGATGGCATTCAACCGCACCGCGTCCGCGATCCCGGAGGGTTAAGCCTATTTTCGACGATCTATAATTCGCGGCTACAATCCGGGGCGAATGTCTATGTATAGCTTGGTATACGTCGTGTAATAAAAAAAAGGGAGACGCAGAGAGAAAGAGAGAGAGAGAGAGAAGGAACACATTCGCGCAGATATCAGGATTGTGTTCACTCCATTCGACGAGCATGGTTCATTTTTATGAACGTAAAACGCGCGCCGAATGTAGAATAGCGTGGTGGATAGCTTCGGCGAATTTAATAACCACAATTCGAGATTTCAATTGCGAGACTTCAGTGGCTCGCGTTGGAAATGAATCTGAATATGCCAGAGCACGGACGACGACGACGACGACGACGACGACGAAATGCTAACGTCCGCTAACGAAATACACACGAACCAAAACATCGTTTCGATACAAATGAGGCGCTATAGATAGACGAATCGTTGTTGGGGCCGCCAGCGAAGAGAGACTGCTCGCGCCTCATCGCGGGCCGCCGCGCGAAAATTCCCGACCGACCGCGTGCAGAGCGATGGGGCGTAAAATGGAATTTGCGAAACGCTACGAGGAACCGCCTCCGCGAAGCGCTTCCGCGGATCGAGCGTCGCCCTGTCGCGACAAATAACATTTACATATTGCAAATATCAAAGTGCGCGCAAAACGACGCGTTGTCTCGTCGTCTCTGTTGTGTTAGGCGCGCGATGTGTCGGAGCTCGCGAAGCGCCAACGACGACGACGGCGGAGGACGTTTGCGTTTTATGTGTCGCCGACCGGCAATGCGCGTTTCCCGTTAGCGATGTAGGTAGGTAGGTAGGTGCGTACGCGCGTACGTTGCCCGCGCGGAATATTACTTTCTGCGTTTACGACGGCGCATTAGCCGTTTTTAGACGCTGAGATACGTACTGAATGGTTCTCGATTGAGGAAAAAAAAGAAACACGCGTCGTAAAAATTAATGAAATACGCGAAGAAAGTACGGCCGCGATCAAGCTCGCTGCCGCAGCGGCGAACGTTCTACGCAGTTCTACGTGATCTTCTGCTTTAACGTTGTTGGCCTCTGTGAGTTGCCCGAACGAATATTCGATCGCTCACCGACTCTTGTAAAAGATACGGCAAAATTTCAAAATAGTGCAATTCTGTTTGCAGTTTTCGATCTCATAACGCTATTATATCTTACAATTTAGGTTTTTCTATCTCTCTGGAAGAAATCTGTTTAGAAATGTTGATTTTCAACAATACTAGCTAGTTATTTTCAACAATGGTAGTTCAAAGTTGCTTGATAGACCTAGATCGTATTATCTGTCCCAAAAAATATCATTGTACATGAAAGGTCAATCTTCTGCGCACAATATCGGATCTGTGAGATCCAAACAAATATCCAATCGCTTACTAACTTTAGTAAAAGATCTAGGAAATTTCAAAATAGTGTAAATCTGCTTGCGGATTTTGATTTTATTGCTCTCTATTATCTTATAGCTTTTCTATTTTCTGGACAAAATATGTCCAAAAATATTGGATTTCAACAAAGCTGTGGTAGTTCAGAGTTATCTGGATCAGACTTAGATTGTCCTGTCTATCCTGAAAAATATTGATAAAATGTAAAAAAAATATGATTGCAAGGAGAATTAAAACGTGTCGCGTCATTTTCCCTCAAATAATTGCCTTTTCGAGCACAAAGAGGCGTTTCTCATCCTTCCCTCTGAGGAACTCTCTCAACGCGGCCCCGTGCGCGTAGTTCTCCTACACCTTGTATAAGGAGGTAACGTCGCTGGGCGAGCGACGTTCGACATAATCGTCTTTCGCAACGCGAACCCGATGCCGCGTGACGAGACGCGAACTGCAACAATCATCGCGGGCACGCTCAGGAAAAGAAAAAGGAAGAGGAAGAGGAGAGATAACTCATTCTCGAGGGAGTAATTACGGGCCGAACCGGCGCAGATTCGTCGAAGGGCCAATCCTCGACTCCTCGGGAGACGACGACGCGCCGTCCGGAGCGATTCGCGAGCCAATGGCGTCGTTGCCAGCTGCCATTGCCCGGGAAATTCCGTCGTTAAAAGTGCAAGGATTGTAAAGCGACGAAAGTGACTCGCGGTCGTCTCTTATTTGCGTTTCCATTATTCGCGACATCGATCCTTGCCGTCGCTCTACCGTTGCCCGCCCGTTGCCTAGCCGAGCGAGCCGAGTCGCCATTCGGGACACCTATTCCGTCGGAATACGCGACGATGGCGTTCCTGTATTACTTTATGCGACATCGGCGACGGTTATCGAGGCGTGACACGTGTGTGTGAACGGTTCTTATTTATTTACATAAATCAACGTTTGCACGTAATTAGTCGCACTTTCCAGTCGACTTTTCCCCACCGTCGTCACACCAGTCCGCGACTTCTCTCCTGTTAGCCTCTTAGCAACGAGCTGCTCGGCGACGCTCATTCCCGAATCCAGTATTGACCCGCCGAGTCGTGCACAACAGTGGCTCGTCTATGACTTTCTAACAGTATTAGTATCTCGAGTATTCATGCCCTCGAGATATTCGCTAAATGCGTAGCAAGGAAAGGGGACATGGATACTTTCGATGAAATTCAGCGAGAGCCCACCGCTCATTTCGTCTCATCACGTTTAAGCGACACCAACGCGAGATCTTACGCCCATGGTTGCGTTTCCCATTATGCCACGGACGAACGTGGAACAGTCGCTCTCGCATGCCACGTCAGAAACCGAACACCCGACGAGATCGATGGAACTTCGGTCGAGAGTCCTGGCGCATCTCGTGCTTTGAGAGATCTTCAGGAGCGGAATTTAGAAAATTTCCGATCTGGACGAATCTCGTTGAAGCCCTGTTTTTCACGCGCGGAATCGCGTGCAGCGAGGGAACTCGATATTCCGCAGGTTTGAAGGTGATAGACAGAGAGAGAGAGAAAGAGAGAGGGAGGGAGGAAAAGGGGGAGAGAGGCGAGGACCTAATCGTCGACAAGATCGCATGGAGCCGAGGCTCGCTCGCAGCCAGAGGCTTCTCTCTCCGACCCGACGTGCATCTCTAACGCGCGTGTCTTCGGTCGACTAAGATCAGATAGAGTAGAAGTCTACGTGAGGACGCAGAGTCTGCCGCGCCACTAGTGTCCTCTCGTGAGCGCGGCAGACAAGCGCGCGTGGAATTCTTACTCACTGTTCGCATGAATCTCCGCCGATGTTTTTTGTTATCGTTTAAAGTGTCGTTACCTATCACTCGCCCTCCTACCCCCCCGTAGCGATGAAACATCAATAAGTTAAAAAGAGGCCCGTCAAGAAATTCCGCCATTTACGATAATGGAATTTTCGGGAAATACGCTGGCGTTATCGACCTTCCTCTCGTGCGGTCATCTATCTCCGATAGCCCGTATCTCGTCAATGCCTGAGACTAAAGGGTAACCTGCAATGCGGTCGAAGATTACGTTTTAAGGTCATAGCACCAGTCTGCGAATAGATTATGTATCCATGTCCTTTACGTGGAATTCGTGCAATGACAAGTTTCATCGACGAATTCAATATAGAACTTTTCATTTTTCACGAGTTTACGCGAAGGAAATAGATACACGAATGCAGACTATTGCTGGCGAAACTTTGAACTTGTGACTGCGACTGCATTGTAGGCAACTCTTTAGTCCTACTCGACAGATATTCGGAATTTCTTCTAAATGAAAATGTCCAACGTCGGCATATTGCTGAAATATATAGAAAGGAAATTTCTAATGTCGTGAATTTGCAATAAAACCGCTCGCAAACCCGAATCTCGCCCCTTCATGACCGAATCACACGTACAATAATAACGACTCTCTCGTAACGATTTTCGAAAAAAATCGTAGGGAATTTATCATACCTACGGAAGTACCGATAGTATTCTGCGAGCAAGACTCCTTCGGCGGGTCAGAAGCATGAACGGACAGATCTCAAGTTCGAATAGCCATTTTATAACGGTCGTGCGATACTTTGCTCGACGTTCTTCTGAGAACTCGGACCGTTCTGCGAGATCATTTTCGGCTGTTTGGTGACATTTCGTCACGAGGAACGCGCGGAACTCATTTTCGGCACTCCCGCTAACATGACACGCACACACGACACTCTTTCTCGAAAAAGCACGATATAGCGGCACTCTAAAGATATTAACTTTCAACCTATTATATGAGCCAAATGGTTTAGAAATATTCCATGATAGTTCAATGAATATTCTTTGCGAATATTTGTATATTCTATGTACTAAAAATATACTGTTGTGTTATCATAGCACGTTCATAGTATATTCGAATGACATAACTATAAATGTTCCATGAATTGCATAGAATATTTACAAAATGTATTACAAAAATAAGCACTATTTTCCTCAATTTTTTACGCGTAACTTGTTTACATATTTACAACAAGCAGTCTTAGAACTCGTTTTTTACACATTTTAATAATGATATTTAGAATACAAAGGCATATAATGTATGATTGCGTGATAAATATATGATCTTATGTATGCATATATTTGTATCGAAATTTGCTAATTGTTTTCAAAATAACATTCTCTTGGAAACTCTCTCTGATGATTCGGATATACGTCAATATACAACATTTATTGCCAATTAAAAATTTGTTCTTGCTAAACGTTTCTTCTTTGTACAGCTTAGGATAAATTCACTGTTTTGTCAAACTTGATTGGATTACTAGAATCCAATAAACCGAACATTCGACTTAAAACATTTATAGCAGCTACATCTTTAGCTTCTTGAATCGTCTGACCATATCCTAGAAAAAATATTAAACATTAAATAAAATATGTTAAATTAAACGCGTTTAATTAAGCAAAAGACAAGATGTTTTAAATTATTCGTTGATATTAAAGATCAACTATAAGAGGATTTCTCTCATTGAAATATATATATCTAAATTATTCAAAAAGAGAGAGAAAGAAATCTAATTAATCTAATATCCAACTTATCCCTATTTTTTATATCAGATTAAATAGAAACTATAAAAAAAGCTTCAGTTTAATTAAACAAGCTGTAAAAAGAGGAATAATTTTATTAAGTTTTCTATCTCTTTATATCATATATTATCATGTGCTTACATACCCGAGCCTAGGAATTCTTTGTTAGAATACATTCCTATGTGATATGCTGCTAAAAGTGTATTTTTTCCCGCATGTGCAATAAGTCTCGGTTCAGCAGGAAATCTGTTTTGTTTTTGTAGAATATTATTTAAAGTTTCACACGGCTGAGACGGATTCCATATTTCTGTTAAGTCTTTTTCGGCTAATATCACAATTAAAAAGTCCCTAATGAATTTTCCTGCGTGATTCGTGTCCACACTTTCCTCGAGTGCCGCGGTAAGAGCAAAAAATGTTTCAGCCAAAGTTTCCTGTGCTACAGGATGTTCCTGAACAAATATTTATTAAGAAACATCAAACTGAAAGAAAGACTTGTGTATGACAATCTTTAAATATATCTATTTAAATATATCTATTTAAAGAAAAATATCTTATAAAAAATATCTTATAAATATCTCCTATTGATATATATATTTTGCATTATATTAAAAAATAGATTCATAATTACATATCTGATATATTCACCTCAGTTAGGATAATATCTTTGGCTCCAATATGTAAAGATGCTTTAGCCAGAATTTCTTCAGAAAGAAGATAATCATGTAACGAACTGGAAAAAAACATATATAATTATAAAAAAAAAAAAAAAAATATATATATATATAAAATTAAGTTGGATTATTTGTGATATACAAAAAGTATTCATAAACATTATAATTAACATTATAATAAACATCCTATATCTATATTGATAAGTATGTTATTTCATTAAAATATTGCTAAATGTTTAAAATTGTTACTTGATATTCATATACATATGATTATTTTGATATAAAGCATATACACAATACATACATACTTTATGACATCTTCTGATGCAAGTGGTAAGGCTTCAGTTAAATAATTTTGTACAATCTTTGATACGAGCTTCTCGCCTTTCCTAATAAAAGTACTATTATCTTTTATATCTAGAATAGGATTTTCTATTCCCATTTCTTTCTGCTTTTGTTCTTCTTTAAAAATATATGACCTGTGCGTGAAAGCTTGTTCCAATTTTTCTATATCAAAATCTTCGGATAGTCTTTTGTTAAATGCAAATATCTCAGCTGATCTATTCCATTCCAGGAAGGTATCACGTTTTGGAATTGGTACGTAACCTAACTTCTTAAATGCCTGCTTCTTACGTGAAGTTAATTCCTTCATTGTTGGTGACACCCATCTTTTTATATGTCTCTGTCCTATACATCAAAGTTTACGATTAGTAAACAGTACTTATACAGGAAGAATTATATATGCAGTTACGATAATACATGTTGCAGATCAAATCTAACCTTCGTAATTCAATGTACACCGCACTCCATTTCTTAAGATAAAAGCGTTAACACACATACGTAAGCTATTCATGTTTGTAAGTTAATTTTTAACTGCTGAAATCGTTTCAGAAAAACAGATCATTTACAAGAGACGGTAAATATTGATACTTTGTCCAGTAATTTTACAAGACCGATAAGACACTTGGCAAATTTAGGTTATAACTCAGAAAGAAGTTATCAGCTGTACAGGTGCACTGAAATAAAGGGTTTGTTTTCTACTGCTGAACTGGCTGCACTAATTCTCTCTCATCTTTCTTCCATCAAGTTTTATCTGTATATCTATTTTTTTTAAGTTCTAAAAGTGTACATTAGTTCAGCAATAGAAAACATATCCCAAGATAGAACACACAAGAACAGAGTACAAATTTTCATGTGTATATATATAAAATACATATAAAAAAATACATTTTTTAATACATAAAGTCTAACAATTTTTTATAGTGCTGCATGAATGTAAATTAAGATCCACTAAATGCGAAAATATTTAATAAAGTTTGTCGCGTAAACGAAAAATTTAATACAGGTAACGTTTGTGTCACTTTAAAGCACGATTCTCTCGTTTGAGTTTGACATGTTGAATGCAAAGCAATTTCTTTTTAAAAAGTTATTTTTCTAGTATCAAAGAATAAGAATATTTTTTAATTTGCTGATGGACCATAAAATTTGAAAGTAGAATATGTCTCACTTGTCGTTGCGTTGTATCACGATTACAATGGCCGTGTTCAGTAGAACAAGTGATCAGTAAGCGCTCAGTGAGCTCTTGCATCTGATTGGAGTATAGTTGGAGATCTAAAAGAATATGCCAAATCATATACAAGAGCTCCCTGAGCGCTTACTGATCACTTGTTCTACTGAACGCGGCCAATGGCTGCGTTCAGGAAAGAAACCTGCTTTACAAAATTCGTAAATCTGATTGGTACATGCTCTTGGATTTAACCAAAATTAAGAGTATAATCCAATCAGATTCACGAAGCAGCTTTCTGTGCTGGACGCAGCCAATTCTTTAACCAGAGAGAAGCCTGAGAGCGGCCACCAGCCTGATTTTAGTGACCAGAACTAGACACATTTTCAAGACGCCATCTAACAAAGTGCGCCTTTACTACATTCATTAGGCACATTTTCACGGTGGTAACGATAAAATGCGCCTAGTTCGTGCCCGTTGAACTTCCGTACAATGATAGTAAGTTAGAAAAGAACAGACGTCTGCCAGATAGACCAATCGCTCCGCTCTTGTTTCACCACGAACGAGCGGACTGCGTGATATAGGTACAAAGCGAGTTACCGACGAACTTATCACAAAGCTAGATTATTTCTTATTAGTCTTGTCTTTCTCGCGCTGCATTTGTGTAATTTTGTAAAGCCCGTAACAGACTATAGATTAGGATTGAAATTGAATTAAAATTTAGCCAATCAGAGCAAAATTCACTAAGCTCAAGTTTGGTGAACTTTGCTCTGATCGACCAGTTTTCAATTCATCTCAATCTTATCCGTAGTCTGATACGGGCTTAAGGAAAAATGATTTGGAAACTGGACAATATAAAACAATAAATAAATATACAAGTTTAAACATTATGCTAATATTTTTTGCTTATTTCTCGCAGCCATAAAAAATATCGATATGATTCAATGAAAATTATGTTTTCTACAATTTATCCTGTAGGAATTCAGAGTTTACAATAATACTAATAATACTAATACTATAATAATACTATTAATAACAGTTCGTTATATAAGCTGTGGAAGCGTGCGTATTTTTTAACGTCGCTGACAGCCATTTTACTATCGATTGCATTTTTCGGACATTTCTCAGCCACTAAAGATATCAAGATGACTAAAAGAGCACTATCTGCCACACAATTCATCTTATTGAAATTTGTAATTTACAATAATACGAATAATACCGGAGATCAAACAACTCGCCCTACTGAAAAATTTCTATTGAGATCACAATTGAATTCCCAATTGAATTCTCAATTAAATTCTCAATTGAATTCTCAGTTGAGGTTTCCGCAAAATTTCGCATGTAAGATCTCAATTGAGATATTTGTATCTGATGGAAATAATTCATTGAAAATATAATGAACTTTTGCTGAAATATGTTTGAAAAGCATTCACAATTTTGACCCAATTTCATTAAAATTTCATTATAATTTCATTAATATTTCGATAATATTT